CGTCGTGCCTGACCGCTGCGTAGAACGCCGACTTCATGCCCACCGGCGGAGCGACGGCTCAGCGCTTCATCCTAGATATCCCTCTCCTGGGTTGGTTGCCCGCCGAACTGGGCATCGCAGCAAAGCTCCGAGTGAACCCTGATAACCGCCGATCTCATGAAGCTATGATAGTGTTTGCCCACCGTGAAATAGACAAGAATGCTACGATGATGGGCCAAGAGAGCAGCACTACACCCTTGTACGGTGCTGAAGCGCGGCTGTCCTTCATCTGGGTCGGCCCCTGGCCCTCCGGCGTCGCCTTCAGCAGAATTGGGAACGAAATGCGGGCCAGCTCCCAATCGCGCGACCCTGTGCAGGTCGTCGGGCAGGGAGTCTGGACCCGTGGCTATGCCCCTATTGGAGGCCTTGAACTCGTGGGCGAAGTCCAACGGGGACATGGCGCTGCGGTGGTCCATGTCCATGTCCTGTAGCGCGTGCGCGGCAGAGGCATTGCACTTCTCGGCGCTACTGCGCGCGCCCATGATAGTGGCCAACTCGATCTTCGCGAAAGTGCAGCAGCGTTTCGTCACCTAGCTCGCCGTTGGAGGTGATGACCGAGCCGTCACCACGCTGCCGCGCTGGGGCAGCCTGGGCCCCTCCTGCCTTATCGGGCTTGCCTCCGAAGCTGAGCTGCGGCCCGGCGCCGCCGGGAGTAGCGCGTCGTCTGCAATGGCCTCGAGCTTGGACTTGCGATCCTGGGCCGTGAACGCCAAGCGCCAAGATGGCGCTTGGTCGAGGACGGCACTGGGCCTCTTCGCCAACCCCAAGCCGTCGACGCGAGTAATGAGCCTCGCACGCCTCGCTGGGCGCCCTGACTACTTCCCGCCGCTGGGAGGGCAGGGAGCCGACGCCAGCGCCGAGAAAGTTCTTTGTTTCATAAATGTTGGACTTGCGTTTCGGGCCAGCGCGAACCCGCCCGGCCCAGGGAATCGCGGGGGGGGGGGAAGGGGAAAGTCGCGCAGCGCGCAGGAGGGAGAGCAGGGAACAACAAAAAGTGCAGACGAGAGGCGAAGTTGGCGGAGGTTCTCGGGAGAGGGGGTACCAAGGGGGAGGATGCGGCTTCCTCCATGAACCAAGCCTCTCACTCCACCGCCGCCGTCCCCCGCGCCTCCCCCCGCCCGTTTGGCCCCGCCCCGCGTCTCTTCCCCCTCCCCCCACCGGCCCCCTGCCCGCCCCTAGTCGCGTCCCTGCTACTCTGCAAGCCCGAGGCCGGCGCCCGACGATTCCGAATCCGTCGCCTACCCCCCGCGCCGGGCAGGGGCGCCGGGCGGGGGCCGCGGCTGCCCTGCGCGGCCAGGGCCCGAGAACGTGGCGCCCTCATAACCCTGGCCCGCGGGCCCTGGCCAACTTCCGAAGTCGTCGAGGGGCCCCGCTCCACCCGCCGCTCCAGCGGGGGCCTCGGTGCCGGCGTCGGCTTTCCAGCGCTGCCAGGGACGAAGGGCCGGCGCCGGCACCGAGACCCCGCTGGAAAAGTTGCGGGCCCTTTCCCTGCGGGGGCAGAGCGACCCAGCGGAGCCTGCAAAACGTGTGATGGCTCGCATTGCTCGCCGAAGTCACGGGCCATGGGGCTCGCGCGGTAAAAAAACGCACCGTGGGGCCCACGGCGGCCCCGGGGTCCTCGGGGCCGCCGCGGTCCGCGGGGCTCGCAAAGCCCAGGAACCCGACGCGGCCTCGACGACTCAAGGGGCCCTATGGGGGCCGCGCGGCTCGGTGGGCTCGCGCGGCGCACTGGGCCCATGCGCGTTGCGGCGACCATGTGGCCAAGGCAACCTTTCTGGGGCTTATGGGGCTCATGGGGCCGGCGAGGTTCGCGCGGCCCACGAGCAGCGCGCGGCCCGTGGAAATCTTGGAAAGTTCATCGGAGGAACTAGAGAAGGCCTGCGTTGCTCCCACGCGCGAAAGGCTGACGTTCATCGACGCGGGACACGTGGGCCCGATGGCACGGGCGATTGCACTCAGCAGAGGCTCTGAATTTTTCTTTTCCAGAGCGGGTCTTGGCGTCGGCGTCGGGTTCTGGCGCCCCCGACCACGCGCGCGTCAGGCTGGTCCGCGGACTCCGTGACCTCGGTCGGGAACTTCTTGGCCAGCAGCTCCATGCCGCGGCGGCGCGCCGACTTGGCCCGTCGGAGCGCCCCCTGCACATGTCTTCGTCATCGCGCGAGCCTCGCCGCTGATATGCTAAGTCCGCGTCGCGCGGGGGTGAACCTGTCCGCCGCGAACGCCGTGGAGGCGGCCTTCCTGACGTGGCTGGCCTGCTGGTGGTACTGCTCGCTGATGGCCCTGCCATGGCCTGAAAGAGACGCCGCCTAGCTGGCCCTTGAATCTGTCGCCGCGCGCGTCCACGCACATCTCCTCAGCGCCCTGCTCGGGCGAGGAACTCGAGACAGAAGAAGGGGCGAGGCCCTGGAGCGACGCAAGTATAGGAGCGCGACCAGCGTTTCGCGCAAGATTTTCAAAATCTTGATCGGCCGTGACAGCCGAGACTATGCCCATCAGGCACGAGGGCGTCAACGCGAGGCCCGAGCGGTCATGGTAGCTGGTTCCGAGGTCGGTCTTGGCACGCGCGCAATCGCTCTCGCCCCCTAGGACTGGCGTTGACGACAGTGGCGTGGGAGCCGAAGGCCGTCCCACGCAGCTTCGCGCCGTTGTCGCCCACCTGCTGCCAGTAGCCCGCCGCTCCAACAGCCCAGGATATTGCTTCCGAGGTTGCCGTTGGCGTCGGCGCGCACGATGCCCACCGACCACCTAAGACATCGGGCGCGGAAGCCCCCCCGCCACAGACGTCTTCCAGCGAAACCCCGCCCCTGTTTGACGCGCGGCGCATGGCCAATGCACGCTGCATGATGGGGCAGTGGGGCCTCCCGCCTCGCTGTAAGGGCGCGCGGATATTCGCGCAGCTTGCGCGCGCTTCGGCGCGAAGGTGAGAGGCCTAGGCCTCGAGTGGCCGCGGGGGGTGCGCGTCGGTAAGCGCGCGTCCAAGGTTTATGCGCGATGAGGGGCCTGCAATAACGCGATATCCGTCGGTCGCCCACTTGCCCCCCTTGAGACGGGCCTCTTGGGTCCCCGCAAGATGCGCATGCGAATCTCCAATTTGCTGCCTGATCATGGCACCCGGAGCCGAGGCGGTTCTGCCGGGGCTTGCGATCGGCCATGCCCCGAGCATTGTAGGTGGCGATGTTGGCGTCAAACCGGCTCCTGATAACTGCCGAGCGTGATCATGGAATAATGTGACGCACTGCTGACAGCTGAGCCGTGGCCTGGATGCCGCACTTGGCGCCCTCGTGAAGGGGTGACTCGGGGCGTTTTCCGTGTGCTTCCATGCCGGTTCGGCTTCGCTCCATCGTTCGCCCTCGTGGCTGGCCGCGCGCTCGGACCTCGCGCCGCGCTGCTCGACCAGCTCCGGATATAACGATAACGCAAGTGCTGCGAGGTCCGAGTTGGCGCGGGTCACGAAACATTCCCGCGGCGCGATGCATTGCAATTCTAGAGCCCTTTCTGATGATGAGCTTCTCGCAATAAGGCAACTGTGCGCTGGGGGGCAGCGCCGCAGTGCCCGAATGACTGCCGAGAGAATGACGCGCCGAGAGAACCAACAAAGGAATGAGATGCGTGGCCCATGCAGCGTCCGTGACCCCCCCGCCCCGCGACGCGCGCGACTGCCCAGGCCGCGCGAGCAGGATCCGCTTCGCGCCAGGAGCCGTCGGTGCAGGACAATGTTCGATCCAGCCGTCGCCGCGATGATCCCCGTGAGCCTGGCTGTCTAGCGCCCGTGCCGTAGCCTGGCGTAGATGCTCGCGTCGATGTAAGTCGGCGCGCAACGCCTGGCGCATTGCGCGATTGCGAGAGCGCGCCAGGATGGGCCGAACATTGCCGGCCTGGAGCGCGCGCCGCACTGGGGCCCCAGCTCCAGCGCGCGCCCGCTGGGGGACCTGCGTTGCGCAAGAGCTGCTGGTGAGATAACGCGAAAGTAGCCGTGGGGCTGCTGCAACTTGCCCCCCGACGCCGAGTCCAACGCTCCGCGCGAACTCCACGCCGGGGCCCCAAGGGCCGCCGATGGTCAGCGGCGGGCGGGGCATCGCCTCCGCTGGGCAAGAATGGCAGTGGGTTCGACGTGGTTGCGCGGTCGCCGTCCTCCCAGGGGTGGTCGTGCGCCGCGATCTCTGGTGCGGGGGCGAAGGTCGCTCGAGCCTCTGAAAGCAATCGCTCTCGACGTCGCGACTGCGCCGCGCCGTCGCCCCCCGCGCTCGCCCTCGGGCTTGTCTGGGCGGGGGGCAGGCCAGGCCGAAGTTTTCTGGTGCGCGCTCCGACTTAAGCGCCTTGGCGAGCAGCGGCTTGGTGGCCTCCTCTCACCTCTCGGTGGCGAAGCGCCCAGCGACCCGGGCGCGCGCGTCGCGCGGTTGTCGCGGAGGGCAGCTGCGATGTCCGCGCCCTGTACAATGGGCTCAAGATCGGTTTCGTCATCGACTCTATGGGGCTGGAAGTGCGCATGCCGGCCGCTGGCCGTGGCTCCGGGATGCCCCGCTGAATCTCGGCGCCCCCCGGGGGCGCGGCTGGCGGCGCGAGCGGCATTGTCGGCGCGACCTGCCCGCTGCCATGTCCAGCAGAGCCGGGGGCGACAATCGCGTGGACAGGCCTGGCCACCGCGGTCGTGGCACCGACGTCCACGCGCGGCTCCAGGCAAGAACCCTCGCGGTCCCGCGGGGGTCTGGACGTCGCCGCAGCGTCTGGCGCCTTCCTGCCCGGCCCTCTCGTAGCTGACGGACGCGCGCTGCGCGGGCGCCTCGGGCTCGGCGCGGGCGTAGAGTGCGCCGCGGCGTGCCGCGCCAGCTGCGCGGCGCCTCCAGCTCCTCTGACTTAAGCACTTGTTGCTTCGCGGGGGGCTCCAGTTTCTGCTGCTGCGCGCGCGCGAAGCGCTCGGTCTTGCGCACGTTCAGGGCGCGGGCGTCGGCGTCGAGGCCGGCCTTCGCCCTGGCTAGGCGCCGCCTCTCCGCTCCTGCAGACTCCTGCCGAGTCGCCGCGGGCGTGGCGGGGGGCCTGCTCCTCGCGCTGGAGCTTCCCGCGCGCTTCCTCCCCGGCCTTGGCGCGGCCGCTGGCCGACGCAGACAGCCCGTCCTGCTTGGTGGCGGCTGCCTTCGACGCTCGGGCCTGATCGCATAGCGCAGATTGCCGCTTGGCCTGGGCCGCTCCCTTCTGGCGCAGCTGCTGCTCGCGCTCCTGGAGGTCCGAGGCCAGGGGGCCGTGCAGCTGCGAGGCTGCCGCTGCTGCTCTCAGCAGTGGCGGCCTGCCTCGCGGCCTCGTGGCAGTTGGCGATGAGCTCGGATTCCTGGTCCGACTCCTTCTGCGCGTGCTGGACCTGCTGGCTGAACGACTGCGTCGCCTCCACGAGCTCGCCGATCTGCCTCTCCTGCGCGCTGGGCCGCGGCGGCGGAGTCGGCAGGCCGCTGCGGCGTGAGCCCTGCCGCGGCGTGGCAGGAGTTGGCGCGCGGCCCTGCTCTCCACGGCGGCCGCCTCGCCCTCATGGTGGTGATCCCGGCTCCTCGTCATGCCCTCGATGCTCCTGATCCTGCGTTGGGATCCTCTTCTTCGCCTTCAGGATCGTCTCCCTGTTGGTGTCAGTCACCGCCTTGTAAATGAAGCGCTGCTGCTGGAGCTGGCGCAACTGCGTGCTCCGTGGTTTGGTCATGGAGAGCGCGCGCTTCAAGATGGCGATACCTCGTGCGTGGTGGGCAGGTCGGCCCCACGGTTGGCCAGCATAGTTTTCGCCGCAACTTCGAGCCTCTTCACCGACTTGCTCGTCTAAGTGCGCCACTCCGTTGAATCCTCGGCGGCTCTTCTCACGAGCTCTCCTTTCTCGCATGCTCAACTTCTGCAATCACAACTTCATCAACCAACTTTTGCGACGCGGTGTCTACCTTGCCATTATCTGGATTCGTTTGGCGTGACTGGGATGGTGCCCTCGCTCTCCACTTGTGGCCACCTCGTACTGCTAAACGCTCTGCAACAATTTGGACAACCACTTCAGGAAGGTCCAGGTAGTCATCTTCTGGGCTGAGCTGTGGCGCTGCAGGCGCGACGCAACAGCCTCAATCCTCAACGCAGTGCGGTCTTCGGCTCGGCGGCGCCGAACCTTGCGATGCCAGGCAGGTTCCGCCCGGCGCCAGCTGGGCGGCGCGCTCGGTGCTGGCGGCAGCACCTGCCGATCGCCGATTGACGCGCGGGGTCGTCCTGGCGGGGCACGCGCGCGCCGTTCGATGCGGGCAACGCCTTGAACCAAAATGGCTACGGACCCTCCTCCCCTTCCTCTTCCTCCTCCTTTTCCTCCTCCTCCTCCTCCTCCTCCTCCTCCTCTTTTCCTTTTCCTTTTCCTCCTCCTCCTCCTCATTTGTTCAGCTGGTTTTTTGGCATCGCGCTCGGCCTTGAGGGGCCGCCGCCGTGCCCCCTGGGACAGGCTCGGGAGGACGAGCCGGCCCCAGGGTGTGACGACCTACCAAAACACCCCAACCAAACCCGAAGACCCACATTTCGAGTTTGAGGGTGGGGAGGTACGGGTTCCACATGTGTTTTTCAATGTTCCCCGACGCCCCCCCCCCTCCCCCTACTGGGAATGGGGGGCACGTTGGGGCTTTCGGGTTGGGTTGGGGTGGTTTAGTGGGTGGCGGTGTAAGCTGATGCAACATGTACGTAGGTGGCGAATGATTCCTGCACAAAACGGGGTTTCCGCTGGACCCTTGGACCCTAGGTTGATTGGTGCGAAGCCTTTCGCAGTCTCTCTAATCCACTACAAAGCAACTCGTTTTCGAAGAGGGGCCCTCGCCTGAACGGCAGGCCCAAAGGGTGATGTTTTTTCGGCGGGGACGCTTCCTGTAGTGAGAACGAAGGCTTGCAAGGTAGGAAGGGGGGGATTTGGGCCTGGAGGGTGTAGTGCAGCATCGCTGTTGCGTCCTTGGTTCACCCTGGCCTTCCGCATCCCTTTCATGATCTCGAGGCAGGAGCAGAGCTCGAGGCATGAAAATTGGTCTTCAACGGACGTCCCGCGCAGCATACTGTAATGAATGGTAGCGTTCAAAGCATCCATTTACCGTGGTCCCATCACAACAAGGTCGACAATATGTTGCAATTATTCTCCTCCTCATCATCCTCCCCATCCTTCTCAACCTTCATCTTCCCCCTCTCCTTCATATTCTTCCTCCTCCTCCCCCCGTTTCCTCCCTCCTCCTCCCTCCTCCGCCTTCCTCGTCTCTCCTTTTCCATCCATCTCCTGTTGGTCCTCCTCCTCCTCCTCCTCCTCCTCGTCCTCCTCCTCCTCCTCATCCTCCTCCCCCTCCTCTCCCCCTCCTCTTCCCCCCTCCTGGTCCCCCCCTCCTCGACCGGCTCCCCCCTCCTCGCCCGCGCGGGCCGCCAGCGCCAGGGAACACGGCTCCCGGTCGCCCTTCTCGTGGGACGTCCCAACAGCGACGCACCTCCCCCTGCCAGACGGAAGAGTAGGGGGAGGGCGAGGGGAAGGAAAAGGACGATAATGGCGAGGAGGAAGAGGAAAAGGAAATGGAGGAGGACCCGAGTAAACTCTGGAAACATCACCGATACTGCAATGCACCCTCTCGTCCCGCGCCCGCTCCTCACAAGTCCCTCCCAATCTGTTCTGACCGTAAAAAGCTCCCCCTTGAAACACGAGCGCCCTCTGGGCCTGCTGCCATTCATCAGGCGAAACCCGTCTGTCGATTCTCAAGCGACGGTTGCCTTACATTCCATCCAGGTCGTCAGAAGGTACGCGAACGGATCATGCAACTGAAGAGCCGCTCCCCGTCTGTGTAACGAATGCTCACATGTACACGTCTGGTGACTGAACTTGAACATGCGAACCGCCCGATATTTTGAAAAGGGCGCACCCTCAACCCGCGCAGGTATTACACATGTGAAGCATGTTTCCCTTTGTGGCCGTTCAAAGCGCAAAGAAGTCTCAGGCGATAGCCATTATCACCACATCCAACGAACGACGTTGGGTCATTCTTTTCTTTGCCCCCCAAAATCGATTCTTCTGACCCCGTCTCTTCCACACGTGAACACACACTCATATACTCACTCGCCCACGCGCTCAGCATCACCACCACCATCATCACCACCATCATCATCATCATCAGCATCGCCCTCATCATCAGCATCGTCCACATTCACTCACTCATTCACTCGCACTCGATTCACTCACTCACTCATCCCTCTACCTTCCTCGTTCCCTCCCTCACCATCATGCCATGATCATTGCCGTCCTCACCACTCTCGCCAGCACCGTCATCGTCAATAATACCACCTCCCACACATTCATCGGTCATCTTAAACCATGTTCATCGGTCATCAGAAACCCATCCTGAGGAGGTCACCAGCGGAAGCCCCATCTGAAAGTGAATCCCACCAGCCCTCTGGGCGCAGGTGGTCTGGGGCGGCTCCTCTTCCAACCCCGTTTTTCCTTTTCGGCGGCCCCTCGCCTCACCCCCCCTGGATCTGGACGGGGCTGGTCGAAAGCTGTCAGGGCTCCCAAAACGGCCTCGGCGAGGAAACCGCAACCATTATTTGTTACCATAGTTTTGGCCCCATGTTGGCCTCTTGGGGGGGGGGGGGCAATTGAATTTTCCCTCTTGTTTGATCGATCTCTTCCAAGATGGCCCCCAAGAGCGCCCAGGAGGCGCCAAGAGATCCCAAGACGGCCCCAAGATGGCCGCATGAGGCCCCAGGGCCGCCAAAATACCCCCAATACGCCACAAGAGGCCACCAATAACCGCCCAAGAGATGCCCCAAGAGGCTCCGAGAGGCATCCAAGAGACCTCTGGCCCTTTTGCTTGCCCTCCTCCTCCTGTTCCTCCTTCCTCCTCCTACTCCTTCTCGTTCTCTTCCTCCTGCTCCTTGTGTTCCTCCTCCTCCTCCTCCTCCTCTTCCTCCTCCTCCTGGTCATTTTCCTGCTCCCCGCTCCCTCATCCATCCATCCATCCAACCTCCTGTTTCTCCTCCTCCCTCCTTCGCACGGTTCGGCCGTCCCCCTCTTCGCTCCCGCACTTCCCTGATCACCCCAAGTCGCCTGGACATCGTCTCTGGATGGGCTGGCGGGGGTATTTTTTTCGTTCGCGAGCGTCGCGGTCCAACCGCGCCGTCCAGGAACGAGGCAAGCGCGCCAAAATCTAAATTAGGCACTAAGCGCGCAGGAGCGAGCTACGCTGCGGCACAGAAGGCGGGAAGGACGCTGAAGAACAGGTCATTGACGCCGATGCCGTACAAGAACAGGAGGTGAACCTGGTACGCGTGCAGCGCCAAAATGGCGAGGCAATTCAAGCCCAAGTCCCCGAAGACCACGTCCGCGTACACGAGGAGAACGAAAACCACGGCCATGTAGCCGAGGAAGGCAACCGTGCAGGCGCTCAACGGAGGACTCCCGATCGCCAGGGGGAAATCAAGAAGCACGCGCGTGAAGGATCCTCTTGCGGGGAAGGAGAGCACGAGGGCAGATGCCGCGCCGGTGGGGCAAGGACAGTGCCAGGCAAAGCGCCGACAGTGGAGCTGGTGGGGATACGCGAAGCGTCTAGAGTTGCGTTGCAATCTCAGGCGAGAGACCCCTCCACATGGGGGCCGCAATTCACGTTAGCAGTCCGAGCCAGTCATCGAGTACTCCAACAGGCATAGCACTTGAGCGCCACAAGGGCAAATAATGGGAATATCCAGAACGGGGGCCTCGTCTGCAGGAGATTAGCGAGGCAATCTCAAACGGGAGCCCCTTCCATATGGGGCCCGCGCTTCACATTAGTAATCCGTGGCGGATCGCCAGCGCACTCTAGCAGGCATAGCCGTTGAGCACCCCAAAGGGCCAAATCGTAAGGTTGTCTCGCGCGGAGGCCTCGTCTGCGATGTGAGTGAACAGCGAGGAAGTCTCAGGCGGTGGGCCCCTCCCTACACCCCCCCTGGTAAACCTGCTGCCGCGCGGGTTAGCCTACAGCCGCCCCCGTTGGCAACGGAACCGGCACATTCAAGGTGAACCTGCTGCCGGGTTGTTAACCTGTTGCTGGCTCCACCGGCGCTGGCCCGACACGCGTGACACGGGCTTGTGGCATATACTAAACCACCCCTACCAGCACTGGGCCAGCACTTGCGGAAGGCGGGTGCGGATGTTGACCGAGACCCCATAAGTTCGAACGCCGGCCCCATTAGCGCTGGCCCGGCGCGAGCGAAGAGCGACTGCAGATGATGATATAGGCCTTGAGAAGCTCGCGCCCGCCCCGCTGGCGCTGGCCCAGCGCGCGTGAGAAGCGGCCGTGGATGGAGCATTGGGAACCGAATGCATGGAGCCCTGTCCGCACGCCCCTCGTCGGTTTCGGCCTCCCCGTCGCCAAATGCGCTGACGATGGTGCGTCAGGCTACG